AGCTTTTGTACTTTTTAAACTGTTCAAAGTACATTTTTTCTTTGCTTGTTTACTCATTAAAAATAAAATTGTTTTCAAAAGTTTAATATAATAGGGCGATTCTGCAGCTTAATATTAATCTTTCTTCTGTGATGTGGTCCAGATTATTATTAGCATACTAATAATATTGCATACTATTCTCAACATACAATAAAACATCGGAAACATAAAGCATCATAATTCATATTATGTATTTATAAATTCTACTGCAGAATTACCTCATGCACTTTCTATGCAAACATGCTTAACCATTTCTTTACAATCTCACTTTATATAAATGCTTAGTTTTAGCATTGCTTTTTAGATAACTCTTTCAAATATACATTGATATAGTCAAGAGTGAACCAAGTGGACTCTTATCACAGATGCTGTCCATTGATGATATGGTATGCTTTACTGTTGTTTTTTTCAACTTCGGCAAATTCAAGAGGTGTTGACTTCAACTCCCAGCATTCCCTAGCCAGCATTACGTCAACATATGTTCATGTCACAAAGTCTGAGAAACACTGCTTTAGTTAATCACAGCATTTTAATATAAATGTAGAAGAAATCTCAATTTATGATTATGTTTTGTTCTGAGACAAAATATACTTCAGGCTGTCATTCTATTGCTGTATAGAAAATATAATGGATTCAATGCATATTGCTTATTTGTTTGTTTTACATTCTATTTATTTTCCATGATGAAAATTAAAGCAGGATAGCTAGCTGGTTTTCAGTTTTCCATATACTTTTATAAAATTCTTAGCTCAGACAGGCCTTAGAGTAGTGGTTCCCAAAGTGGGCGGTACCACCCCTGGGGGCCGGTGGGATGCCTTGGGGGGGCACTAAGAGGCAAGGGGACCGGCAGGGAGACGCTAAGAGGTGACAGGGGGGCATTTGAGGCGCCGGCCGACCCTGCAGTTTCACCCATTGAGGTGCCGGCTCCAGAGTCAATGTTTCCCGACGTGCCTGCGGGGGCGGTGCCTCGAACGCAACAGTGGTGGCATGGCTTTGCTCTACTTTTCCAACGCTTCACCACTGCCTACCCTGGGCTTCCTCAACCCTGCCCTGTACTGGCTCCAGGAAGCAGGTAACAACAACACCCTCTATGACGTAAGGGGGTGTGCTTGGGAGGCGGGAGGGGCAGCCTGTGAACTTGCTGTCAGGCACGGCAACTACAAAGAAGGGTGGGCTTGGTTGAACGGGATCCTGGATATTGGGCATGTGGTCAAAGCCTTCCTGCCTATCTACCAATCTATCTATACATCCATCCATCCAAAAGTCCTGTCTATCTGTCTGTCTGTCTACCTACCTACCTATCCATCCATCCATCCATCCATCTATCTATCTACCTACCTATCCATCCATCTATCCATCAACCCATCTATCTATCTATATGCCTATCTACCTACCTACCAATATATCTACCAATATATCTACCAATCTATCTATCTATCTATCTATCTATCTATCTATCTATCTATCTATCTATCTATCTATCTATCTATCTATCTATCTATCTATCTA